TATATATATATATATATATATATATATATATATATATATATATATATATATATATATATAAGTATATAAAACACCCCCTGTTATGGGGCTCTCGGTTGAGTAAAGACTAGAGATGGTGTCTCAATAAAATTACTCATCTTGGGCAGATGTTAAATGCATACGGCTGCATTCTTGTAGAAGGCCTCCTAGGCAAAGGCTTAAGGGGTAAACTGATTCTATCTGTTGACCAGCCTTGCACCCCTTCTTCATCTATTAGGCTGGCACAGATGTATTTTTAATACATTGTTTCCAGTTTAGGATGTTAAAAGCTGGATCTGCTTGACCCGATGCATGGGTTTTGCTCGTGTCTCTATTTTTATGACTAGGCAATTCATTCTATTATCTCCTAATGAGGGTACAGCTCTAAAACTCAGTTTTATGGTTCTAAGGCCGGCTGGTAGTCAGGTTTCCCGAACACTGTGGTAGCTCTCAGAGAGGCTGATTCCATCAACAGCTGAAAAATATCAGAGTACTAACAGTCCCATGTTGCGCATGGATGGTGTCCCTGTTTGTACTTTTGGTGTGCATTGCCAAGACCACATTGAAGCCCTTTGTTATGGCTTAGGGTTTATTAGTGGAATGTAGGCAATTGCTTGGGTTATTAAATAGTGTACTGATTACTATCTATGTTTCGAGTCAAGTTCTTAACAAATTTAAAAATGAATAAAGTAACAAAAACTATAAAACACAAAAAACCACAGTCATTACCAAGTTCGCTAAACCTATTATTCACCAATATTCGTGGTCTTCGAAGTAACTTTTCTTCTGTTGAGTCTTATCTCTACTTGCATACCTACTTGCTCTTTGTGAGACTAATTTGAGTTCTTCTGTCTCATCTTGTGATCTTAGTGTTGATGGTTATCTTCCTTTAATTCGTAAAGACTCCAATAGTCACATGCTTGGCCTGGGCATTTACATTAGTAAGAATTCACCCATTTGTCGGGAAACTAGGTTTGAATCCACAGACTACTCTTTTATGTGCTTTCGTTTAGCACCACTTCACTCTATCACCTTTCTCTTTGTTCTATATCGCTCGCCTTCATCTCAAGACTGCACTCTTCTTGATGTTATTTCTGATTATATTGATCAAGCCCTCATTCTTTATCCATCAGCCAATACTGTTGTTGTCGGAAATTTAATGTTCATCTCACTGAATGGCTTGGCTCTAGTGTCAGTGACTCTGCAGGCATTAAGGCCCACAACTTTTGCCTTTCTCAATCCCTTACTCAAATAGTCAACTTTCCAACTTGCTTTCCAGACAAACCGAATCATTTACCTTCTCTACTCGACTTATGTCTTGTTTCTAATCCTAGTCAGTGCTCAGTTTCACCACACTCACCCTTAGGTGCTTCTGATCATGGTTTGGTCTCTCTAAAACTATTATCTCATTCTTCTTTACCATCAGAATCCCCCTATCATCATACATCTTACAACTACCTTAAAGCTGACTGGGACTCTTTCCTTGATTTTCTTTGTGATGGCCCCTGGGTAGAAATCTTTCGTCTTCCTGTTGACAAATGTGCTTCTTACATAACTTTGTGGAATCAGGCTGGCATGGAATCCTTTAATCCCACTCGACAATTCCAGGTCAAGCCTCACTCTTCTCCATGGTTTTCCTCACATTGTGCTGCTGCAATTGCCAATCGAAACCATTACTTCCATATCTATCAGCAAAACAGTTCTCTAGAAAGCAGACGTCTGTTTATTACTGCTAGTAACCATTGTAAAAAGGTTTTGTCTAATGCCAAAGCCCGCTATTCTCAGATCATGAAATCTCGTATTTCATAACAAAAGTTAGGCTCTCGTGACTTCTGGAGAATCTTTAATAGTATCAATAATAAAGGCAAGTCTGTAATTCCACCTCTTTTATATGGTTCAGACTTTGTCACCTCACCTAAAGACAAAGCTGAATTGTTTGCTAAAAACTTTTCATCGATATCATCTCTTGATGCCACTAGTTGCGCTCTACCTGATATAGCCGTCAAACAGGTTGATCCATTGCTCGACATCCGTATCACTCCAGCTTCTGTATCTAAAGTGATTTCCTGCTTAGACTCTTCTACAGCTTGCGGCCCGGACAACATACCTGTTATAGTCTTGCAGAAGTGTTCTCCGGAGCTGTCGTCTATCCTTTCAAAACTATTTAACAAGTGCTTATCAGAGTCTTGTTTTCCAGCTTGCTGGAAAGCAGCATCTGTTATCCCTATTTTTAAAAATTCTGGAGAGCGATCCGATTCGTCTAACTACCGTCCCATTAGTCTTCTTCCTATCATAAGCAAGGTTTTTGAATCTTTAATTAACAAACACTTAATCTCTCATCTCGAATCTCATAACCTACTTTCTGATCATCAATATGGATTTCGATCCTCTTGTTCTACGGCTGATTTGCTATCAGTAATAACCGAAAGGTTTTATCGCGCATTAGATAAAGGTGGAGAGGTTAAGGCCATTGCTCTTAACATTTCTAAAGCATTAGATAAAGTTTGGCATGCTGGTCTTCTCCATAAGCTTTCTTCTTATGGTGAAACATCTTTAAGATTATTAGAGACTAGAAACTAGAGACTAGATTATTAGATACTAGAAACATCTTTAAGATTATTGAATCCTTCGTTTCCAATTGTAGTATAAAAGTCGTCCTTGATGGACAGCACTTTTCTTCTTATTCTGCAACCTCAGGGGTTCCTCAAGGTTTAATCCTTGGCCCTATACTTTTTAATTTACATTAACGATCTTCCAGATACCCTCACATCTAAGGTGGCATTGTTCGCCAATGATACTACCATTTATTCTTGTCGTGATAAGAAGCCAACACTCTCTGATTGCTTGCAGGGGGCATTTGAGCTTGAAAAGGATCTCACTTCTGCTACAGCATGGGGCTTACAGTGGCTGGTGAACTTTAATTCTGATAAAACTCAATTTTTTTTAGCCAATCCTTATCGCAATAATTTAGACCTTTATTTATGAACAGTAATGTACTCGATAAGTCATCTACCTTTCATCTTCTAGGATTAACTCTCGCTTCTGATCTTTCTTAGAAACCTTATATCAAATCCGTTGCAAAATTAGCATCTGCTAAAGTTGCATCTCTTTATCGAGCTCGACACTTTCTTACTCTGGATTCTATTCTCTATCTCTATAAATCTCAAATCCGACCTTGTATGGAATACTGTTGCCATATCTGGGGCGAATCTTCTAATGATGCCCTTTCTCTTTTAGACAAGGTGCAAAAACGCATTGTAAACATAGTTGGACCTGCTCTTGCAGCCAACTTTCAACCTCTGTCACATCGTCGTAATGTTGCTTCTCTTTCTCTTTTCTACAAATACTATAATGGGCACTGCTCTAAAGAGCTAGCGTCTCTTGTGCCATCTACTAAAATTCATTCTCGTGTTACTCGTCATTCAATTAAGTTTCATCCTTTTTCTGTTACTGTTCCTAAGTGCTTCAAAAACTCTTATTCGTCCAGTTTTTTTCCTTGAACATCAGTTCTTTGGAATTCGCTTCCTTCATCTTGCTTTCCTGATTCATATAATTTGCAATCTTTTAAGTCATCTGTCAATCGTTATCTTGCTCTACAATCTTTATCTTTTCTCTTCCAGTAACTTCTAACACTAATTAGTGGTTGCTTGCAGCCTTGTTCGAAGCGAAGATGTTAAATATATATATATATATATATATATATATATATATATATATATATATATATATATATATATATATTATTATTATCATAATTGTATATATATATATTATATTATATATATATATATATATATATATATATATATATATATATATATGTATATGTGTGTGTGTGTGTATATATTTATATATATATATGTGTGTATATATTTATATATATATATATTATAATTATTATTATTATTCTTATTATTGTTTATATATATATATATATATATATATATATATATATATATATATATATATATATATATATATATATATATATATATATATATATATATATATGAATTGTTTTAAAAACATCAAGAAATCCAATTTCTCTCAATACTAATAATTGTATTATTTCAATCAAATTTTTTTTGCTGGGTTTTAGATACTAGCATCATCAGCTAGTATTTATAACCATCAACATCTGTTAAGTTTTTAATCATTCATCATAATCATTTATTAGTTTTGATAACTCCTGATATTTTGTTGTAAATGTGAATTTGGTTCTTGTTTCAAGCTTCTCAAGTTTTGGAAAGGTTTTTCAAACATATGAAAACCATTTGTTAAACTTAAGGTCAGAGGGTAAAAGCATTAGTTTCTGGGTTAAGTTTGTTCTGAATAAAAAAAAACATTGTAAAATATTCACCATTAATTATTTAGTTTTTTTTACAATATTTTTCTGTTTTCATTAATGGCACAAAAACTTTAAATAATTAGGATATGATAGAGGATGACTTTTGTATCTCTCCCAATCATTTTGATTTTAAAAATACCCCAAAATTATATGACAAATTATATAAAGCTTTGGTTCTCTAAAAAAGTTTAAAATAGATATTTATATTGTCCATTAGAATGATTTTCTATGTATCAAATATCAGATTGGTACATTTGATTCATTAAATATTGACCAAAAAAATCATGCTGCAATAAATGCTGAGTTAAAAATGTGAAGTTTTTTGCTTTCTCATTAGGATTTATTTTTATTTTTTTACCATTTTTGATATTTTTATTTTTTATATAATGAGAGAGTAGCTAATAAGAATGTAATGTAAGCCCCTACCTTGTGTACCTTTGATAGTGTAAGGTTCTGTGCCTACCTTGTGTACCTTGCCCTTTATACTTACATTGTTGGTAATATTTATATGAAGTCTACATCTTTTGAAAAATTATTTATTTGAAACAAAAAGTTGAGTGTTGTTAAATTGACTAATGTTTTTTTGATTTTTTTAAATACATTGATTTTTACTGATAAAATATTTTTTACTTAGGGTAAAGCAACGAAGAGCTAAAGGGTTAATCGATTTTGAAAGACATGAAGATGATGAATTAGGCTTTCGTAAAAATGATTTAATAACGGTACGCTGTTTAATAAATGTAGGGGGTTTAATAGAAGTAGGCTGTTATAGAGTTAGGAAGTTTAATAGAGGTAGGGTTTTTTTTTGAAGAAGGGTCTCTAATGAGTTAAAATACAACATAGTTATTAGTTATGCATGGAACTTTAAAGAATTTATACAACATTGTCCAAAGTAGTATGACGTTTTATTTAAATAGTCTTTCGTATTTTTTTATAGATAGTTTCTCAAAAAGATGAGCATTGTTGGATAGGCGAGTTGAATGGTTTGCGAGGTTAGAATTTTAATTTTCAGTTTTGATGATAATAGTGTATGTATAATAATTACCACAGTCACTATTACACAACATATTACAAGGTATCCACAGTCTCTATTACACAAACACCAAGAGTACTTGGCCATCCGACTTGATTATACATATATACATGAGTCAAAATAGGTATTGGACATCGCTGTCCAATACCTATTAAACCAAGATGGTTTGATGGCAACCAATGATTGTTCATTTCTTTAGTAAAAACGAACAATGATGGGTTGCCCCCCCCCCCCTTTCTTAAACCGGTATCAAAATTGGTGCTGGGGTGCTGATGTTTGGCACTCATTTTGACCTCTGGATATATTTAATAATATTTATCGACTACATTAGTAGTATATTTGACTTTTTACATAATTGTCTAGTTAGGAATCAGGTAAGTTGTTAAGAAAGTTTTCTAACTGGTTCATTTATAATCAAACAAAAATTTTTACATAATAATAGTATACATTCAAAGTATTTAAATTTTCATATGGATTTCCAAATTTTTTTTTTTTTTTTTTTAAACATCCGCTTCCAACAAGGCTGCAAGCAACCACTAATTAGTGTTGGAAGTTACTGGAAGAGAAAAGATGAAGATTGTAGAGCAAGATAACGATTGACAGATGACTTAAAAGATTGCAAATTATATGAATCAGGAAAGCAAGATGAAGGAAGCGAATTCCAAAGAACTGATGTTCAAGGAAAAAAACTGGACGAGTAAGAGTTTTTAGAGCACTTAGGAACAGTAACAGAAAAAGGACGAGACTTAATTGAATGACGAGTAACACGAGAATGAATTTTAGTAGATGGCACAAGAGATGCTAGCTCTTTAGAGCAGTGCCCATTATAGTATTTGTAGAAAAGAGAAAGAGAAGCAACATTACGACGATGTGACAGAGGTTTAAAGTTGGCTGCATGAGCAGGTCCAACTATGTTTACCCATGCATCATGTCAAGAAGATCCAGCTTTTAACATCCTAAACTGGAAGCAATGTATTAAAAATACATCTGTGCCAGCCTAATAGATAAAGAAAGGGTTCAAGGCTGGTCAACAGATAGAATCAGTTTACCCCTTAAGTCTTTGCCTAGGAGGCCTTCTACAAGACAGCAGCCGGATGCATTTAACATCTGCCCATGATGAGTTTTTTTATTGAGACACCATCTCTAGCCTTTACTCATCCAAGAGCCCCAAGGCAGGGGGGTGTATTATGTTGGAGTTTGCATCTCCTAGCCTTTGCCTAAAAAGGCATATCCTACAAGGTAGCTGGACATGTAGGAGATTGTACTGGGTTACATGTTACCAATGGCAGGATAAACCTGACCTGACCATAAATGTACAGTTTAAATGTTTTAATTTAAAATTTTGTCACATGTTTGCAACATTACTAACTTTTCTTATTTTTTTCTGTTTCTTAAGAATGTTATTATATATAGTTACTTAAATTTTTTTTTTTTAGTTTGTTTTTTTATCTTTGTAATGCCTGAAGTTTATTATAAACATATAATGTTTAAGTTTTAAAAAGAACTAACATTAAATTTTAAGTAATTAAATATAAGCAAAACTGAAGAAGTTTTAACAAGTCACTGCTGCTATGCGTATGGCTAAGTTTATACAAATACAAAAGTACGTAACTGTTTAAAGACTATGTGTTTCAAAGAAATATAAATGTGTAACTGCTCATAGAGTATTATTATATAATTCAAAAAAAAGAACTTTTTGCAATGTGTGGTTCACTCTATTTTAAATTTTTTTTGAAATTTTAACAGGGATTTTTACTAGTGATAGCATTTGATCTAATAACGCTAAATACAAAAAATTTGGAGTTTTGGAGGATTTTTAGATCCCCCACAAAATATTAATAATTCTAGTTTCTTAGTGGGATTCACACAATTTAATTGATAATCACTAAGGAATAATTCTACAAAAATTTATAGGTTTATGACTACTTGTATTTATTCCAGATTTTTGTTGATTTGTTTTAAAACATCATGATGTTGTGTAACATAAAACATCATGATGTTGCATAACATAAAATAGTTTAGTTACTCATAATTTAGTTACTCACTTTTCAATGCTCATACTTTAGTTGCTCACTTTTCAAATATTCTAATCTACTTTATACTTTCGTGATACTTACATGCATTTTGTATTGTGAAATTGCATTTAAGGAAGTCATTAAGGCATTGATTTTTATCTAAATGTATAGTTACTAAAAGTGTTTGTTTTACAAGCTTCAGTCTTGTATTAAATGATAGCAATAGCTCCCATACCAAATAAGATTAGCAAATGTAATAAATGTCCGTGAAGTAATGTATTTATTTATTAGGTTATTTGGCCAGTACATACTCCAGCTATTGCTATAAATAAAAATTTTGCAACTAATAAAAAGTAGACATTCTTCTTGTTTAAATCATTGGATTGTTGACTTTTTTTTAGAAAATATTAAAAGGAAAGCAAAAACACCTTTGAGGAAGGAAAGCCACCTTTGAATAGAGCTGTATTGCAAAAATATCATTTTAATAGAGAAAGCGATTCTAGAAAAGAAACATGACTGGTTGCAAATCATCTAGCTAGGGATATTATTGAAAACATATGGTTACCTTCCGGTCGTATTCCAACAAAGCCTAACAAGTTGGATTTTGTTGATCAGATTGTCTGGTAACTATGAGACTCATAGAAAAATTCCTGGAAGAAAAGAAACAAAAGTAAAGCAATAAACATTGAAGTCTGTCTGACAGTCTGATATTACATACAGACACTTACACATTGCTGAAACACTCTGGTAACAACAAGTGGCTTATTTACTGGGTATTCCTAAAAAGCCATCAAAAGTTACCTTAAGTTCATAAAGTTCTTGCTACCTCTTGCTACCAGCATCATGAAAACTACAGCATCACAAAAGACAAATAAAAGGAAATGTTTCATATTAAACAGCAACTCAAAACCATTTATTTTTACACTACCATTACTGATGATAATGAAGTCAACGAGGGCGTCAAGTTTTCTTCAGGTGTTATGGAAAAAGATGATTTTTTAAGAAATCAGTAAAAGAGAAAAAAAAACATCATTACAAAATCTGTGATAACACTAAAAATTTTAAAAAGAGAAGTCTTAAAAGAAACATGTACAGTTGGGAATGGTTTCCAGTATTAGTGTTAAGACAACAGCTAGTTATATTAAGAAAGACTTTAGCAGTAGGTGGAGCAGCTTTAAATGATATAACACTCAAGCAAAGCTGCTGGAAAAAAAGAAGAGCGACTTGGTGTGTATGCAGGGCCACCAAATAGCTAGGTACTCCTAAAATTGCTGGCAGAGCTGTCAAAAGCAATTGTGTGATGAATCATCAGTGATGAATCTAGTTAATAAGTGGCAATTAAAAGTATCTGTTGTTGCACTTGTTTATGATACCGCAGTTGCAAACTGAAAAGTTTGTAGTAGTAGAGTGCTCGTTTCATAAGCGAGAGGTTCCAGGTTTGATCACCCGCCAAGTCCTTGGTAGTACCGTGCTCAACTTGTTTCTCTGCGCAGCGACCTTGTTCACCAAGGTTATTTTTAGTTGAGAGAGGGTTATAACCACTTCTCCTTCATAGTGGGTTGTAGCCACTTCACCTCCCCAAGGCCTTCTAAGTCTTGGTGAATTAGTTTAACTAATAAAAAAATATACATATTAATATATAATATTCATATATAAAAAATAGATTTAGAGTGTGGGACTGGTTTATAGTTTTTTTATTTCAACACCTATTTGAAGTAAAGAAATGGGGAATGAAATGTTTGGAGAGAAAAACTTTTCCTTGTGAGGACTATTGAGAACTAATGGAGCTTATTCTTTTTTTGGTGGGCATATTAAAAGAGGGGTCCGCATTCGATATGCCAGTTCTGATCATCATGCAAGATGGATGTCTAAAGTCATTTATTATAAAATATATTCCTTATCTCTCATACTTTTAAACTTAACAATGAAGGAGCATAAAAAACTAGGTTTTTCACTAATGCAGAATGTAACTACTTTACTGCCTTCAGCAATAAAATATTTATCAAATTCTTTTTCTTATATTTTAGTCACAGCATGCTTAAAAAACAGAAATCTGCTAGAAAATAAGTAAAAACAGTTTTATGATCATTTACTTATATGATCATTTGTATATGAAAATTTAGTATTCTCATATATGTACATTGTATTCATATATATGTTGTACCCATATGTAAATTATAGCCATATGTGCATTGTACCCATATATGTACATTGTGTTAGTTTATGTACATATTTTTAATTTATTGTTAAATTTAAGATAGTTAAATGATGGTCTGAAATTACTTTTTAAGGTTGGTTTCCTGCAAAATTTGTTCAAGTGTTGGATGAGCGAAGCAAAGAGGTTTCTTACAATTTGTTTAAAAGTCTAATATTTATACATTGGGCTTGATTAAAAGCAACTTGAACAATTAATCTGTTGTTTTCTTTATTTTTCACATTTGCTAAAACTAAATTAAGTTAGATTATTTAAGTTGTTTTAACAAAAACATAAATGCAGTTTAGTTTTTGATTTTTAACCGTGATTTTTTACTGAATTTTTAACCTTTTGATTATTGGTAAGTTAATAATTTAATTATTAAATAATTGATTGGTAAGTATTAAATAATTGATTGGTAAGTTAATAATTTAATTATTAAATAATTGATTATTGGTAAGTTAATAATTTATGTCGAACAATCATTATACTCAGAACAATAAATACTATAATATATACTAATATATCAATATATACTTAGTAGCAATACTCAGTGTTAAATCAATTTTTTTCATCCTTTATTTTTTTAATTTTTTTATCCTTTTTTTTTCATCCTTTTTATTTTCATCCTTTTTTTTTACTAGTACTTCAAATTTTATTCAAGTAATTAATTTTAAAAAATCAACTTTTTTTTACTTTTATAAACTTTTTAAATGAAAACAGTGAAAAGTTTTTAAATAAAAACAGTGAAAGCAATAATAAGTCTCTAAATTTTTTTTGTATCGTCTTAGTAATTGTCCTTTGGTTTTATATCAAATTAAAAATTAAATTTAAAAATTTTATATCTTACATATATTTATTATTCAACTGTTCAATTGTGCATTTAAATTATATACATATTTATTAAACATATGTGTGTTTAGTACTCTTCTGCTGGAGATGATAGTGTTTCTGAAGTTGTTGCCGATCTTGTTAGAGGAAAGTAAGTTGTTTTTTAATTTTTAAATATAAACTTAGTGTATAATAATAATATATATATATATATATATATATATATATATATATATATATATATATATATATATATATATATATATATAGGGAGAGAGAGAGAGAGAGAGAGAGAGAGAGAGAGAGAGGTTTTTTGCATGTTTCTGTACAATGCTTCAGCTAACTGGTTTAGTCTCTGGAGCTCAACATTGTTAAGGCTGTGGTTCATCTTAAAGTATCGGATGAGGTCACCTTAATGCCATCTATCTTCTAGATTTTGAATATTTGTAGCGATTAGTCTTTGACGATAGTTTAAGAGTCTAAGATGAAAAACTTAGTGGCTCTTTCTTGCACTGCTTTGAGAGCGTCAATGTCTCAGCAATAATAAGGATTCCATGCGGAAAAAACAGAACTCAAGATGCAGTTGTTCATAAATTGTTTAAAGTATAGGAAAGTGAAAATAATGTCCCAATAGTGAAAGGTTCTTTTAATATACCTAGTGATATGTTAGCTTTGGCAACAGAGTGTGCAACTTGATCCTGTTACTTGAGTTGGTTGTTGACAATGGTACCAAGGTTGCAAAAATATCTGGAAATATTTCGGATCTTCAAATTCTCTGTTTTATCATTCTCATGAAATGCCGTGTTTCAATGAAAAGTTAAATTTATCATATTGGGAATATTTATGGAAAAACAATACAATAAATTTACTGCAAAACTGCTAAAAATAGTAACAGTCAAAGCATAGGGTAAAGATTAGGGTAATATGAGCATCTTGATAATATATGAGCATACTTAAAGATTTCTTAGATGTAAGCAGTCAAGTTAAAGTTGCTTTGTATTTTTTGAATCGACTTTGCATGGTGATAATAGAAATCAGTACAATTAGCGTAAATTTATATGCAGTAATTAGTGGCTATCTAATTAAAATGCTGTTAAATTTTTTCCATTGTCAAAAAAATATCATCAAGCATAAATAAATCTGAGGCACAAAATATGGTGCTAAAACAATGAAATTAGTTTTTTCATATAGAAAAAAATGTTAGCTGAAAATCCAATCCATTTTTGTTTGAAAAACATTTTATTGAAACATTTAGTTTTGACTTTATTTAAAGATGCCATTTTTGTGTAATATGAGCATGCTCAAATTACCCAGTGTTTTTCATTGAAATCATTCATTGAAATTACCTAGTTTATAGTCCTAGCAATAGCAATGGTTTTAATTGCTTTTTGAACAAAAATAAAACATAGTAAAAAATTTCAATATTTTAACAATACTAAATATTTTTCTGTAATCTAAGTTCAAAAAATTGAAATATTAAATGTTCAAAGGTTTAAGTTATTAAAATTGAAAAAATTATGAACAATTTTTTTTTCTTTTTTTTTTTCGGAAAACTTAGTAAAAATCAAGAACTAAAAAACATAGTAGTATTGTTTCAACAAAGAGTGGCATAAAGTTTGACCTTTTAATAATAAGTTTTGTTAATGAATTATTGTATTCCAAAAATTAGTTCTAATTGTCACGTTGGTATTTTTTTACTTATTGTTTTTTTTTTTGAGCTAATTTAAAGACCAGATTTAAAGCTACCAGGCGGACTAAGTAATATGAGCACTTTTGCTACTTTTTTTTGTGTTTTTAAGAAAAAGATTCAGGTGCCCAATATCTAAGTGGATCATGAGTAGGGATCCCTAAAAATTGTTTATTCGGTAAAATTTTGGATCCAGCATAACTATTTTTAAAAATATTCCAATTTTCGCTTAAGGTGCTCATGTTACCCTAATCTATCCTACATAATTTAATTTATTGCTATTTTAAACACCAGTTATGTTTATGTTCAACAATGTTCTATGAATGGTCTTAATGTTAATAAATTGGTTTTAAAGAAGTTTAATTAAACACTGCAATAACAAAGTATACAACCAGCTATTAATATTGGAATATTCTCTTCGTTCATCCTTTATGAGAGGAGTTAAGTTAATTCCATTTGATGTTGAGCTATTTGTAAATTATATTTATTCTTGGTTTAAACATATAGTAGCTATAAGAGAAGACTATAAAGAGTTATTTTTTGAAGAAATCATGGGATCAGTAACTAATTTCTTTCTTAATCCAGTAAGTAGCCAGTAAGTGGCTATCATTGGTTTCTGTTTGTACTTGAATTCTTCAGCACTACTCAGCATTAAAGATATATTTTCTGGAAAAATTTCTGTATTCCAATAATTCTTTTTAGAATTTACAGAAGTACAACAGGTTAAAAATGATGTTAGAGAGTAAATGTGTATCAGGTTAACTGCATTATTTTGTATCTGTAACCGAGAGACTAAAAGGATTGCTAAACGTTTTTCAAAAAGCAGAATGAATGGTACATGTCTTGTATACAAAAGCTGTTACAGTTATTTTTAAGCAAGAAATTTTGAAACAAGAAATTATCTCTAACAAAGTAGCTGAAGAGTTAGTTAACATTAACTGTAAAGATTTGAACAACTGGCTTACATCTATTGGTATTGGCTTAGCAGCTTGTAGAGTAAGAAGTAGTTTATACACTGATGTAAGTAAGCAGTCAAAATATGGAATAAGAAAGTCATTAATTACTATTGCCATATATTGCAATCACCAGTAAAAAATCATATCTTAAGAGGCTTTCAGTGTATTCATCATTTACAACATTAAATTAGGGAAAATTGTACATGTAAAGATTGTGTATGAATTGAATCTGGTTACCACCAAGTGGGTTATGTATGCTTTAGAAATTTTGTGATCAGCATCTGGGGATGTTGACATTTGTACTTATTGCCATTATCTCTCTAGCATATCCTGGGTGTTCAGAAAGATATCCTGGGTGTTCAGAAAGTATATTAATCACTTATGTATTATTAGGTCAGTTCTTCAGTTAGGTCACATTATGTCTTGACCTGAACAAGGCTTTTCATTAAATAATACTTTGCTAGGAATATATCTCAGAAAGTACCATTATTCCATTGAGAATAGTAAAAATAATTGACACTGGTTCTTAAAACATCTTTTGACATTACTGAGTTTCCTATAACAAAAGAGTTTATTAATAATAGCAAGAAAAATTCTGGATACCAAATATTCTTTGAGAATACGAGGAAAAATAATGTGCTAGAAGATGATAAAAGTAATAAAATATTTCAGGAGTTGGAATAAATAAAAAAAAAATCAATTGCGCAAAAACTGGATGCACAAAAAAAAATTAGAAAATGAATTAATAATGGAAGAAGACACAGCCAAAGTGTTTAATCAATAATCCAAATCAGGGGCTATAATGATGCAAATGTTAAGCTATCCTTTGCAATGCAGTCAAGCATGCAGTCAGCAAACGTAGTCAACATCATGTTTACTTCAGGAAATTGGCTGAAGCATCTAGGAAGCTTCTTAAAGTTTGCTTTAAAAAGGTAAGTTGACAAAAAAGCATGGAAAAAGAATTTAACATAATTAAGATGTAAGGTTATTTTTTAAAATAAATTAGTTCCTCTAAAACTTATTATCTATAACATATTTGTCTTTTAGACAAAGGTCTTTGTTTTAACCAACTATGGTGCAATAACTTTTAATTTTATCTTTCATACTTAAGTTTTGTGAAATTAGTTCAATAATTTACTGTTGATTTTAATTTTTGTTTTTTGTTTTGCATCAATTACTTAGCAAATAATTGTTTTGATCTTGTTTCATACTAAATATAAATAAAACAGGTGAGGTATAGACTGGTGTAGTGGAAGATGAGCCAGGTGGAGGATGAGCCAGTTTATCAAAAATCGTTTCATGTAATTTAACTAATGTCCTGAAATTGTCCTAAAGTTCAAAAAAATTATCCTCAAATCAGGTCAAGTCAGGTTTATCCTGCTACTGGTAACATGTAACCCAGTACAATCTGCTTCATGTCCTGCTGCCTTGTAGAATACGCTTTTTTAGGCAAAAGCTAGGAGATGCCAACTCCCACATAAAACACCCCCTGCCTTGGGGATTTTGGTTGAGTAAAGGCTAGAGATGGTGTCTCGATAAAAATACTCATCTTGGGCAGATGTTAAATGCATCCGGCTGCTGTCTTGTAGAAGGCCTCCTAGGCAAAGACTTATAGGGTAAACTGATTCTATCTGTTGACCAACCTCGCACCCCTTCTTCATCTATTAGGCTGGCACAGATGTATTTTTAATACATTGTTTCCAGTTTAGGATGTTGAAAGCTGGGTCTGCTTGACCCGATGCATGGGTTTTGCTTGTGTCTCTGTTTTTATGACTAGGCAACTCATTCTATTATCTCCTAATTTCTCATTCTATTATCTCCAACTCATTCTATTATCTCCTAAACCTACAGCTCTAAAACTCAGTTTTATGGTTCTGAGGCTGGCTGGTAGTCAGGTTTCCCGAACTCTGTGGTAGCTCTTAGAGAGGCTGATTCCATCAACAGCTGAAAAATATCAGAGTACTAACAGTGCTATGTTGCGCATGGATGGTGTCCCTGTTTGTACTTTTGGTGTGCATTGCCAAGACCACATTGAAGCCCTTTGTTATGGCTTAGGGTTTATTAGTGGAAATTAGGCAATTGCTTGGGCTATAAAACAGTGTACTGAGTACTATCGATGTTTCGAGTGAAGTTCTTTAACAAATTTAAAAATGATTAAACTAACAAAAACTATAAAATGCAAAAAACCACAGTCATCATCAAGTTTGCTAAACCTATCATTCACTAATATTCGTGGTCTTCGAAGTAACTTTTCTTCTTTTGAGTCTTATCTCTTGCAAAGTTCACCAGACCTACTTGCTCTTTGTGAGACTAATTTGAGTTCTTCTGTCTCATCTTGTGATCTTAGTGTTGATGGTTATCTTCCTTTAATTCGTAAAGACTCCAATAGTCACATGCTTGGCCTGGGCATTTACATTAGTAAGAATTCACCCATTTGTCGGGAAACTAGGTTTAAATCCACAGATTACTCTTTTATGTGCTTTCGTTTAGCACCACTTCACTCTATTACCTTTCTCTTTGTTCTATATCGCTCTCCTTCATCTCAAGACTGCACTCTTCGGTGCAGTCTTAAGATGAAGTAACTTTATCTAGGATATATATATATATATATATATATATATATATATATATATATATATATATATATATGTATATATGTATATATATATATATATTCATATATAAAAACTTATATATATGACTGTAATGATTAATTTTTTTAGATTATATCAGTCTTTTAAAAGAATATTAAATCATGGATTAAAGCAACCGCCATTTTCAGGTCATGTCCATCCTTGGCAATATATAGAAGAGGTAATTAAAACTTGTTTTGAAAATTATAAAAATCTTAGTTAATAATTTAAAGAGAAATTTTTTACAACAATTACGCAACAATGTAAAAAAATAACAATTTCATACAAAAAAAGTTTTTAACAAGACTGTTTTAATTTAAATTGAAATAAGTTTTTATTGGTTAAAATCAAAAGAATAAAACTCAATTAAATAAGTATGAATATATTAAAAATATAATACATTAAATAATATATACTGAATATATTGTATATAATATGTGTACTATGCATGTTTAATATATTTTAAGGTTTTGATACAAATAAGTAAAAATTTTGACCACAAATGTTTTTCCAAAAAAATTGACTTTAATAACAATTCTACTTCCTTGTATGGGTGTATTGCATGAGTGCTGTTTATGACTTATACTTTATAGGTACTGCTTATAACTTATTATGTTCTATAACAAATTAAAAAATAGAAATGAATAGAATAAGGTAAGTAGGCTTAATATAAAACTAACACAAAAATAAAACTTAAACTTTAAACAAATAACAAGTTTATAAAAAAAATTAATTCGAACAAAGCAATAAAAATCAATTCAATAAAAGTGATTTAATCATTCCTTATTATTTGGGTCTGAAAAAAGAAAAGAAAAAAGTGAAGCTACTGAAATGCTGAGAACAATAATAAAATTTATAAAGATTATATTGTACCAATTTGAACCTCTTATTTTGAGAAGCATTGCATTGTCTTTGACCTCTTATTTTGAGAAGAATGAAATAAAAGAAGTATGAAAGACACAAATTGTGCATAGTAATATAAAAAGTTGTCTAACATTAGATTTTAATGACTTAATAGGTTGTTAAAATTTTCTTATAGTGTGAGATACATAACACACAGCAATTGTTTATTGCATTATAAGAGCATAAATGTTTATCGCTACACAAGAGCGCAAGAGTTGCATTTGAAACTAAGTAATTTTTTTCTGATTGCTGTATATATAATATCAGTTAAATCTAATATCAGCAGCGGTTTGTTTATGTATATGTATATAACTATTAATATAATTTAACCAATACAATGAAAAATATCAAGCAAAATAACAACTTCAAAAATAGTTTTTTTTTCTAAAAAGATTTGTAACAAAATATTACAAAATATATTTAGCAGTAGAGGCCTTTCAATGTTTCATCAGTAGTGTTAATTTAAGTGCTGTTATGCAAAAAAAGTTTTACTAAAGTAAAATTTTTAATCAAGGCATTTTTGCTATTAGTTATCATTGTCTAATATTTTTTAAAACAGAAAGTGTTAGTTAAAAGTATCTTTTAAAAGTTTATGCAAATGACTTTCATACGACAATAAATTTTTATCACTTCTAAAAAAACAAAAGGCTCAAAAAATGGTTCCATTTTTTTATTATTTATATGTTAGCAACCATACACATAGTTGTCAAATCTGTCAGTTGAATGACTGTTTCTGCAACTTGATGTATGACCATTTTTGCCATTTCTCAATTATTATTTTTTTCCAGTATATGTTGATTGACCATTAAATTTTAAATAATAAATGACATTCTTGCTGTTTTAAGTAACGTGACTTTTAATGTTCCAGATAGTACCATTGGATGTTACAAAGTTTTTTATCTCTTGCAGGTAAATTAAACAAAAATAAAATATATATTTTTTTTAGATATATATTTTTATTTAAAGAAACCACTTTTGTATTAACCACCATTTAACAAGTTATTTTTAATTGAGAAAAGCCTAACTCCCCCTCTTCCATCACAGATAGGTATCACTGTCTTTATCCATCTAAATGGTATCAGCTACAGTACCAGCTAAATGGTATCATTCACACCCTTTTGAAGTAGTTTTGTGGTAGCTTGGTGAAGAGGAAGTGTGTTAAGATAAAATGTGTAAATTAGTTGTTTTGAAATAAAGCTTTAAAAAACATATATGTACTTTGATATATAGATTATAAAGCTTTATATCTGTAATGGACTATGTTTTTATTGAGTGCGCAATCTTTAATCGAAAATTTTTAATTAATCAATTTTACGTCTAATAAACTTGATTAAGTTAGAAATGCTTGGCTACATTTTTATCTTAATTTTAATTTTTATTCTGTTGTTGCTTGGAAAGAGTTTCCAAACAACAGAAGAAAGTGTAGTTTCACATCTAAAATTCTAAGAAAGACAGTAATTCTGAGACAAAGCAATATTGAATAAATTTTATGAGGTAAAATTATTTAATAAATTATTGAGGTTAAATTATTTAATAAGATTAATAAAAATTAATGAGGTAAAATTATTTAATAAGATAGTTTTTAGTTGAGACCTTATAATTAGAGCAAATATTTTAACTTTGTCAGACACATTTTTATATACATACCAAATCCATATTTTGACTAAATAAGGATATATATATATATATATATATATATATATATATATATATATATATATATATATATATATATATATATATATATATATATATATATTATTGATATTACTTTTTAAGGCAAGTAAAAGAGAAGTACAGAAAGATTTTCATTCAGTTTACTCAAGATTAGTCCTTTGCAAAACATACAGGTATTTTTTTAATAGTTCTATGATTTGTATAAATAATGCTATAAGATGTTTTCCATACCCTATTGCTGCCCCATCCCATACCCTTAGTCAATGTAGTGGAACTCCATTGTGAGAGCAGGCTATAAGATAGTCAATGTACATACTAAAGCCCCTGTCAGCAGGCTATTTCAGTATGGCATCACATTGCTTATTTAAACAAGCATTTATAGTTTTATATATATATATATATATATATATATATATATATATATATATATATATATATATATATATATATATATATATATATATATATATATATATATATATAAATCAAATATATATACTAGCTGTTTTCATCCATAAAATATAGGTCATTACAGTTTGTGGTAACGAAAAAATACCTAATAGCTTTGTAAAACAAAAGATATTTTAATTTACACATTAATTTACAAATTAACAAAACATAACAATTTTAAATTGTTTTTAACTGTTCCTCTATATTAAATAAACACGTCATCCGATGAATATAAAAAAAGTAATTGAATTCTGACATGTAAATCTAAAAAGGAAAAAAGATATTTTATATAACTGAAGGATCAGACCATTTGTACTGACCCTTTAGTTATATAAATTTTTATGGAAAACATAACCGACAGAAATAAATTTACAAAGAAATGTAAGTTTACAAACTTTTTTATATAATTTTCAAATTTTTGAATTTAACCAAAATAGCATCTTTAAAACAATGAAAAATGTTTAACCAGATTAAAAATTAAATTCGCCAAACAATATTTTGTTTATTTAAATAAAATATTTTTTGGTGAATTTAATTCGATGTCAGTATTTTAATATATATAATGAATCTGTTCCAATGTACAAAGAATGTAATTTAAGAAGGCGTTATAATTATAATTCAAAACATTTAAGAACTTATAATCAGCAGGCTTGGTTGGGAAGCAGGTGCGATCGCACTCGATAACTGACCATGGAAATAATATTTAATTGCGAAAAACCGGCCAGATTTTTTAGTCCTTTTGAGAACATTTAAGTTTATTTATGTTTCCTATTTAGTCCGCAAAATATTAAGTTCATTTTATCGTAAATATTGTTTTACAGACTTACATGGAAACATACATAAACTTGAATGTTCTCAAACATCTTAGTGCGGAAAAATAAAAAAAGAATATTCGCGAACACAAAAACCCGCCAAATCTACGAACAACTAATTCTAATGGTTCCAAAGATACTAACCGAAATTTCTAGACTATTCAAAAAATACTAACCGAATGTCCTGAGTATTCTGTTGAATCATTTTAAAAAATTGTATTATTTGAATTTTGTTACATTTTCGTGAGGTTTCTAGCATAAATTATTTTCAAAATATACTATCAAACGAATTATTCTTTTAATTCTTAGAGCCACATCTACAAAGCTATAAATGTTTTAAACTAACATTATTTGTTTACAATAATAAATGTTTAAAACTTATATTTTTTAACTTGTCAACATTTTCTAAATATATTTTAGATTTTATCAGTATATTCTTATTTTTTATATATAAGGGATGTATTTTTTATGTATGTAATGTATTTTTATGTATGTAATGTATTTTTATCTATGTAATTTTATGTATGTGTATTTTATTCAAATGTAATCTTTTAAAGCAATTTTTGCGATTGATTTTGTAAACAAAAATACTTTCAATAATAACTGTGTTTTCAATGAAATTATAAATACTAGCAGTAAGCAACCCGTAATACGCGTTGTTAGTAAATAATATTAAAAAAAAAAAAAACGCGTATAGAAAAGCCTAGAAACTACTTTAAAATAGAAAGGCCTAAAAAATGACGTAATTTGACTAATAATATTAAATTAGCGTATTAATTTTATCAGATTCGTCAAAGTTAATACAAATAATTTTAACCACTAATCCAATTTCCTCAGTGTACCCGATACCTGATTCTTTCCCCCAAGAAAGAAAAGTCTTCAAGTTCCTGGTGGGAAATTGGCTAGCGAATAGCTAGCTATAATCGTAACGATAAAGACAGCAATTTGGCCACGAGGATCGCTAGCTTTTTTAAGTTATCAAAAAGTTATCGATATTTGTAAAGATAAAAACAGACATTTGGCTAAGAGGACTTAAGGCCAGCTTAATAAGCTAAAGATCCACTGGCTATTGTAACTAGCATCATATTGTAATAAAGTCGTTGTCTAAAAAAATTTGATTTGTAGCTATCAACCAGCTATAGATTTGTAGATATTTTGTAGCTAGCTACAAAGCTACGAAATGTAGCTAGCGACACATTGCTACAAAATCACAATGTTTAAAGTTCAATTATCCTCATAATTATAATAGATTCAACACTAAAAATCAAACTTTTAAAGATGTTAAAGATATTAGGAAATAATAAAATAGGAAAAAAAAAAATCGCTAGAGAATCGCTATAAAGCTAGCTAGTTGCTCACTAGTCGCTAGCTCATTTCCCACCGGGTTCTTAGAAATTGGTTTACTAACTTCAATTATTTTTGCTTCAGCCATTCTTACAAACTCGTTATACTTAAAGTTACTTTTTTCTGTTTTAAATACTAATTAAAATTATAAAGCCCACTCACTTAACATCATCAGCGTTAATGTGAAGCAATTACGCTTCCTCCTCACAAAGTAATTTAACGTTTTTAGTTAATTTCTATCTAGCTAATTGAATTTATAGAGTAACTCAATGATTTAATTATTTCATTTGTTCATCTTACTAAGAAGAATTGTTTCAAATGTGTTAAACTTTTTAAACTACGTGAAGCATAAAACAGTTATTGAAAAAACTTTTTTATTTATAAATAAATCATCTAGCGTTAGTTTTATTGGTTGAATCTTGTTGGACTTTTCAGGGCCGGAGGCTTCATTATTTTAACAGCCTTATTTATGTGCCACAGCGTAAAAATGACAAAAAAAATACCGAATGATCCTCTTGACTATTTCCCCTAACATTATGAGTCCCGGGGCTATAGCCCTACTACCCCCACCCCACCTCCTCAATCCGCAACTGGTAATAAGGCTTACAAACTATACTAATAAGTATATAAATAAAAATTGTATATACTCTGATAAATTGAAGAACATTTGTTTCTTTATAGTTGTTACTTTATATAAAAAATGTCGCTTAATTTTATATAAAAAATTATAAAAGAGCGACGTTTCAAAAATAATTGCTCTAATAAATTTATTTTACTTAAAGTTTTTTCGCGATAAAAGCTATTTTTCTTTTTTTAACTGTCTCTCATCGGTCCAGTTAATCTTATTGCGCTTTTTTGTTTGTTTTTGAAATGTTCTCAAAACGACTATAAAATCTGGCCTGTGTTTCGCAACTAAATAATATTTCCGTGGTCAATTATCGAGTGCAATCGCACCCGCTTCCCGACCAAGCCTGAATCAGTTTTTCAACAAGGTACTGAAAGAAAAAGTAAAAAAGTTAAAACTTTTACTTGGACAACAAGCTTTGTTAAAAGAGAGCAATACTAAAACAGAAAATGTTGCTGTTGCAAGCAAGATGTTAGTCTTTTTTTATCTAAAAATTGTAAATCATTCAGAGGTAGGGAAATTATTAAGGAATCTCTTAAAGTTGTGTTCAAAAAGGTTTGTTCTAAAAAATTGAAAACTTTAAATAATATCTCACTCTCAAGACAAACAGTTACACAAAGAGCAGGTAATATTGCTGATGTTCTGAGTTTGTCATTGGCTGAATAAAAAAATGCGTTTTTTGATTTAAAACTTTTTTTTGATTACTATTGATGAATTAACCGATATATCACAAATGCCTCAATTGGCTGTTTTTATTCTTGGTATGGATGAAAATTTTCTTGCTACTGAAGAACTACTTGGCGTCTATTCTATGCAAGACTAAACAACAGGCAGAACAACATAAGAAAACATTTTGTAACTAGGAAAGTTTAAAAAAAGTTCAACTTGACATTAATTTCAATTACAACAGATGGTGACAGCTTAAAGATTGGAAAAAATATTGGTGTTGTTTTTGGACTGGAAATCATTGAGACATTTGGTGTAGTGTTTTATACTTTTTTTGAGACATTTTTTAATGAATATGACTCTTAATCTGGTGTTTTGCTTTATTATACTAAAATGCGATGACTTTCAAGAAGTAATATGCTGAAAAGAACATTTGATTTGAGACCAAAGATAACATATTTTTTCAAAGAAGTTCATTGAAAAGTTTGCATTTTTGGTAGACCTGAAACTTTACATTATACTTAATAAAGAACTCCAAGAAAAAAATCAGTTAACTGAAAAAATGAATAACCTTGTTCTAAAAGTTTTTCAAAAGGTTTGTAGATTTTATTTCTTTGTTATTCTCAGATAAAAGTTGCAAAATCTAAAACAACTTACAGATACTTATCTTGAAAACCACAATTACTCAGTTGTAAATTTACATTAAAAACATAGTGAAAAAAGGCAGGTTCGTGATTACCATTAAACTATTATTTGTACTGTACCTATTAGTTAGCTAGTATGTGTGTGCATGGTATTTCTTCGAAGGCTACATTTAAAAATTTAAACTTTTTATTTTTAAGTAAAATTAATATTTCTAAATAAAATATTTTTAAAAACCTCTTGCCCCCACTTAACAGCTGAAAAAAAAACTTTGGCCCTCATTAAAAAAGTTGTGGCCTCCCCTGACATATAATAATGTTACAGATTTTAGATTTAAAAAAACTTGGTTTTCAGTAACAACATCAACTGGGTTTTCATTAACAACAACTAGGTTTCCAATAACAATAACAACTGGGTTTCCAGTAATAACAACGACTGGGTTTTAAGCAACAAATACAACTAGGTTTCCAGAAACAAAATATGCTTTGTTTTAACTTCTTTTTAAATACTTAACCCTAACCTTATGATGCTTTATAGTAAAACAATAATCATTTATAAATTAACTACGTAATATAAAAAACTATTTATATCAAAATTTTAACAGTTCAATAAGATAATCAAATATTTAACAAAC